GAGCACACTCTTTCCACTTTCTCGTGTGTGGCTACCGTGCCACTGCCCATCACAAGCACACTTGAGCCAGACGTCGTTCGCCCCAATGAAGAGGAGGGCCGTGCGTTCAGCAGTGTGTGTGCACTTGATTGCATTCAAGTCAGTTGATTTTAAGAATTATACTTTGGATATTCTGAATGATGAGAGTTCCAACTGGAAATATTGTATTTTGAAAATTGACAAAACTTTGATGATCATATGTGCAATAAAAGACATGCTTCGCGCATGCGAGAAGGTTTTATTGTGAAATTATCAAACAGGTGTTTTTGGGATCAGTGGTTTTGTCCATTTTCTTCCAGAAATCTTTTGTCACGTGATTTGTTCATCATGTTCCCAATTGCGTGAAACATGATGATTGTTTGATCCGTGGCATTTTTGCTCCAGTGTCTGGGACACGACGACCCAACCCGCCCTAGAAAGGAGTGGAAAAACAATCTTGTGAGGAAGACTGAATTTGGCCCGGGGCCAAAAGTATGCTGGCGTACTGGAGTTGTGCCGGGCACGCTCTTTCCACTTTCTCGTGTGTGGCTACCGTGCCACTGCCCATCACAAGCAGATTTGAGCCAGACGTCGTTCGCCCAATCTGAGCGCAACTGACAGCGTGGCCAGGCTAATGCAGTGCGTGTTTTCTGCAAGCGGATGGCTCTGCCATACACCCTCCTCCAGGAAATTTTGGATTTCTTTGTACTGGCTGCTGCACGGGGAGTCAGTGCGGTCGTCGGATGTGTCGCGGGGCCTTTGTGCCCGTGCGGTGCTTCGCTATCTTTGAAGCTCTTGTCGCAAGCTTGTAGCAACACTATCATTAGCAAACAAAATATCCTTGTCCATTGCATCGAAACTAACGTAGCTCAACTGAGGAGCAGGTTTTGAGCCCTCGTGCTTGATGCTATTACTACTATTACTATTACTATTACTATTACTATTACTATTACTATTACTATTACTATTACTATTACTGTTACCATTCACAGGACGCAAGTGCCGCCCGTAGGCGAGTCCCGAGTTAGTTGGCGCTTTGGCCGAAGTCCGGTGGATGAACTCTAAGCGATCCGGCATCGGCCTCACCCTAGGCACTACGTCCCTGATCTTACCCGGCTGGGCAGTGGCCAGTACCTGCACCAGTGAGCCTGGATTCCGCTCCTTCGGGGGAGGGCTTCAGCCAACAGCCACGTTGGTGCGGGATTGGCTGTTACTCCCATCTCACTATGCTGGTGTGGGTCTGGCTCTCACTCCCAACTCATCCCTACTGCCTCCAGGGATGAGGCGGTGAAGCCCGAAAATGCAACATGCCCTTGAACCGGCTCACACTAAAACCCCTGCTCAGGATGAGGGCAATAGGTTTGAGCGGCAGGTATGAAAAGCCGCCGTCAAGCCCTTAACAAGGCGCAGGGTCCACGCTTTCCCCCTTTTGCAACCTCGTGGTGGTGCGGGGAACGACACCCTGCAGTACTAGCCACCTACAACCCGCAGCCCTCATCCTAATTAAGGGAAACACATCTTTGTCCTGTTCAGCACAGGTGGCGTGGTAGACCCGAAAACTACGCACCCCTTGCAAATATCAGGGGTTGTGTGTGGACTGACCGGAATAGCTAGAAACCGCTACCAGCAGACCGGGCAGGCCAGCAGCAGTCCCAAACCAGAACCAGAAGGGACCCCAGCCTCTTTGGGTCTTTGGGTCAAACAATCTCCATGGGCATCTAACCGGGCAGGGGGAGGGCCAGGGTCCGATTACACGGGAAAGCTGGAGCAAGAATTAAAGGAGTAGCGGACAAGGAGGGTGTTGCGGCTGCACCCTTCTCACACCCCCCCTAAACTCCCAGTCACGTGATATGCGCTGGCTAGGCAGGAAACATCCGGCCATCACTTGTGTTCGCAGGGGAGGGTGCCCAACGACCATTTTTCGCAAGCCAGGGTAGCCACACATACCTGCTCTTGCGCTGGGAGTAGTAAAAATGCAAGAATACCAACTTGAACCACCAAGAGCCGTCCTAAACCTCCCCACCCCAGCAGGCAGGAGTTTCAGCATCTAGTTTTGAAAGGACGGCGGGGGAGACCCCAAGCAGGCAACGGGCGGGCCTGAAACGGTACAACATCTCCACCCCAAACTTAATGCCAATGCTTACGGCGATGCCTGAACAGGTAGCTGAGCTTGCACGGGGTGCCGCTCCCAGACGGTCAGGCGCTGCAAGCCAAACATTGCCGCGCTCAGACTGCAATGAGTTTGCACGCGCTTACTGTGCCCGCTGGCCCCTGTGAAGTACAAGGGGTGTCACCCATCTCCCTTGCAACCCAAGCTTCCGTAGCGTGCTATGTGCTGCCCCTGGCTCGCCACTTCGGACTGCAAAACAGCTGGCTGCAAAGGGTTTCGCCCCGGCTAGTGGACGTGAAAACTGGCATGAAAACCGCAAATTCATGGGAAATCACATGCAAAATTCCATGGCTCCACCCCTTTGCAGCGGGGACCACTACAAGAACTGCACGCGACGCATCAGGGGGCCTCCCCAGCGTCCGCCTACATTCCTGCGCCCTTCAGGCCCCAAAAAGCAGGACGCAGTCCTTGAGCACTCGTGGCTTGAACCATACTATTACTATTACTTTTACTTTTTTTTTTCACTTTTAGTTTTACTATTACTATTGGTATTACTATTACCATTAGTATTACTACTACTACTATTACTGCCACTACTACTACTACTACTATTACTATTAGTATTACTAGTACTACTAATATTTCTACTACTACTACTACTACTATTACTACTACTACTACTGCTACTACTAGTATTACTATTACGACTACTACTATTACGATTAATTGGTACGGCGACACTCCTACATTAGCACTATTGCTGGTGCTGCTGTTGCTGCTGCCATCCTTACTACAATTACTGCTTCATCACTATTGCTATGTCTTTATATTGACATGATTCCCTACTGATGTTGAAAACCCCTTGTTTAATATCATTGATTGGAATCAAAATCGGATGCTCAGGGTTTTCGACTCAAATGAATGATCCAAAAAGGCTCCGAACTGGGGTGACCGTTTTTTCTAAAAGCGGGTGACCGTTTTTTCTAAAAGCATGGACCCGGATGCGGGCATGCTTTATTCCACACTTGGATGTTGCATTCGCGCAATACCAGGATGTGACATGTTTAAAAATGTCGTGCGATTCATGAAGCGGTTGTTTTTTGTGATAGGTGCTGCGCGGACTCAAATTTGTTAAGTGTGGTGAGCCTGCCATGTTTGTTGGCTCCATGAAATGATGGTCAGGCGTAATTTTGCCGCGTAAAACGGTTTTGAAGTAGCTTTTGGAGCTATGGCCATACATCTCATGGAAGGGTTCGCCCAAGCTAGCAACTGGAGAGGGTATAATTTCTTGTGCAGCGAGGTGTTGAAATTTTTGAGCCTTTGGCAAACACGTCAAACACGTTTTAACAATGTTGATGCATGTCTTGAAGCTTCCGTGCATTCTTCAATTGTGTTCCGTTTTTGTGTTGCCCGGTCAACTTTTTTCCGGTAGCATGTAATCTCCTAGTTGATGAGGTCAGAATAGGGTTGTTGTCACGAGCACGGGACGGCTTGTGCCAACCATGACAGGCCGCAAATGGTCTTGAAGCCTTTGCAAATTGCAAAACATGCATTGTGTTGCCAATCTGCAGCCATTGGCTGCACAGAACGAATAACCGCAGCGTAATTGGTTAAGGCTCGATGTGTGTTGAGCTGTGATGTGTACCTAGGATTACGCCAGTTTCTTGTTGAATGAATCGTACGTGTTGAATTTTAGGGTTGCTTGCCTTGCCATCGGCATGTGTGCATGAAAGGCCACATTTTGTGTTCATGCTTAAAACATGGCTTTCAACGCAGGGTATGCGTCGAGGCTGGGGCAGAATTTGCGTACGTACATTTCGGATGTGTTTCGATTAGCCCGTCCATCCTCATACTTGCAGGATGGATGTGCGCGACAACATCGACCAAATGTCGTCAAAGCCTAATTGTAAGCTTCGTTTTTGTCACTTGCGTGTTTGACCGTTGTTTCGCATGCTGAAAGCCCCAGGCACAACTTGCCATTGAGAGCTGCCAGTGCAAAGTTATCCCCGGCCATATTTACTTGCGTTGAGCCATTGCCAAGGTCGCATGTATTGAGCGAGTGTTCGATTATTTCCTGATTTCCTGCTGCCGTGAGACATGTAGGTTGAAGACAAAAGAACAACGCTCGGGTGGGTTCATAGATTGGGTTAGTCACGCTTGTCATTGTTGTTCTGGGGTGGATACCGCTGTGATGTGATAATATGAAAAAAGATTGAAGTTGCCATGGTCCCATGCTTTCGATGTGGCACTTCGTGGCAATATCCCTTCTGTGGCGAGCCTGGGTGTGGATATGATGGTGTGGGAACGTCCTCATTTTATCCTAGTCGCATGCACATCAAAAGATTTTTGAACCATTGGCAGATGAGGAGTCCGGGCAAGTCCGCATGAGGCTTCGACATTCATTGACGTTCTGCTTTGCCTTACGTCAGCTGTTTAGATACATCGTTCCGGCTTCAACGCAAGACCATCACACAATGTTTCTGGCAGGAGTTCCAGTCCCGGACGTTGATCCAAAGGGCATCTCAGGCCTACAGTTCCACCCAACATGAGAGGACAGATTTCTAAAACTCCGTGCGGCGTCTGCTAGGTTTCGTGTGCTGCGTGAGTTGTTTTGCTTTGAGAGATCTTTTGTAGGAGACTGCAGAGCACAGCCACTTGCGAAGAGGTCCATGCCGTCCTTGGACTCAAAAAGGGAAATCACTACGTGAATTTAGCACTCAGAGCATCCAAGGCTGGATCCTGGGGTCAGATGAGGACGGGTGCAGTCGAGAACACTGTTGATTTGTTTCCTTGCCAAACGTGGCATCTAGCTCAGGATAATGTGACTTAATAATTGTCTCCTGTCACATTTCTTTGCAGGATAGGGTACGAGATGGTGAACGCTCATGCGGCTGCACCTGATCTGGTAGAGCTGGTAAACCAGACTGTCATGGAGACTTGACGGCATCTGCTTATAGAGTGAAGCCAAGCTCGCCAAGAGGATTGGATTTCTTTCTGCGCCAGGCCCGTGCGGTGGCATACTGGGCATCGGTGCTTCAAGTTCGCCAGGCTTGGAACCTAACGCGCCACTTCAGTTGCATTGTGTAGGCTTTCAGGTCTGGTCCCTGCCAGGCTCAGAGCCCTCTGAAGATGGACCGAATCGGCACTGGTTGCTTCAAGTATGCAGCTGGCCTTTTTGGATAGCCTCTAATGGGTGCTTCGACTTGAAGGAAAGCGGATTCACTCCCGATTGCACTGCCTTATGTCAGGCTTTCGATACGGACTGGCGATGCAGTGGCATGCAAAGTCCGACCTGTGGCACGCTGACCATCCCCGACAAGTACCTTCGGGCTAAGCGTACATGCCAGGAAGTCTGCGAGCCTCAGACGGATGAGGGTTTCCTGTCTTCTTGTTGCCAGTCTGCCCCAGCCAACGTTGAGAACCTACCCTTGCCCAGGGCCCCCGCTGCTCGGGGAGCTGCGTGCAAGGACTGCTGGCACATTTTCCTTTATTGAGTTTGCTGGTATCTGTGCAACAATTCTTGCAAGACTTGTCCTGTGATAGTGCAGGAAATAGCTGCGTCTGCAATACGACTGAATGGCTACTCCAACAAGACAATTACTGCTGCTTCTTAACGCCGCAGTCTGGATGCCCCAGCGACTGCTCACTGGCAACTGCCACACAGGTGGGCAGTGGTTTTGGTGGTGCCTTCGTATGTGAAGGCACTTGTCTGGATGCACCGGAAGGGGAAGGTGCCGTAGGAGAAGATCTCCATGTATTTGTGAAGATTGAGGACTCTGTGGAGTGTCAAAATTCCAACACGCTACTGGCATATGCGATTTCTTGTGGTGTGGACCAATGTGACCGTCCTATTTTTGGAACCATCAATTTCTGTCCATCTCAGCTGTCCACATCGCCGGATGCTCTGAACGGAATCATTTCGACGGCTGTGCATGAGCTCGCGCATGTTCTTGTTTTCAGCAATGAGCACTTTCGCAATTTCCGCAATATCGATGGCACCCCACTGGTTCGAAGAGACTCCACTGACCCACGCCTGTACGAGAACGAGGTTCGGTACACCTGCAGCGCGTCTGGGTCCTCTTGGAATAACACCAACGGCAACAGGAGGCAGGATGGAGCCCGTGGTAGGCCGCAGGTCTGTCATGTTAATTCTATTTCCGCAAACCAGCTTTAGGTGGGCATTCAGGTGCCCCAGATCCCGCATACCCACAAAAGCAAATGAGTAGTTGCTGGCTTCGAAGACTGTGAGTTCATGTGGAACTGGAATAGCTACGTATTCTATGGCCCAGTGTCTAGAGGATTTGTGATTTGTCAAGTTGAAAGACTATCGACTGCTGAGTGAAAGACGGTACCCCGCATGCTTGTGTGCAAGTGGGATGGAGATGCGCATCAGCCAGAGTGATGCCCTTGACGTGCCAGCCACTTAGGATCCTTGCTTTGGGTCTTGTATGGTCTTGTGATGGTCAGACTCTGAGAGGTACGTGGACCTCAGCCCTGGCATCCTCGACGCCTTCGATGAGCGTGGCTACAACTGCCAGTGCCCCATTGGCACGGAGACCCTCAACCAAGGACACCTTCTCCGTCTCAGTGCAAACTCAAGCTATGACTCCGCGTGCGGAGGATGCTTCTACCCAGCTGGCCCACCTTACCTGCAATTGCCGAGCTGCGTGGTGCGTCTAAAGACACCAACAGTGCTCCGCGAGGCCAGGTTTACGGACTTCTGTTTGATCCCCGGCTTTCTTTGAGACGAGGTCAGGGACTTCTTTGACTGCCCAACTCTGCCTGGTGCAGAGTTGGAGAATCAAGAAGGCTGCGCGGGTTTTTGGGGGACCCGCTATTCAGCTGCTAGCAGTTGTGTCCAGGTAATGGGTGCAGCATCATCAACAGCCATTGGGAGCAAAGGACAGCCGTTATTCCCAATCACCAGTGCTTGGTAAGTGTGGCTGTTTTCACATGGTGTTCGGGAGGGTCTTCGCCTCGGAGCTCATGGCACCAGCGTCCTCGGAGCATCTGATTGACACCTATGTCTCGCGTGTGAGCCCTTAGACGGCAACAGCATGCTTCGATTAGACACCTTGCTGCGGCTGCGTAGCTTCCTCAAGGCATCCTGTTCAGAAATCCTCCAGCCCCCAACAAAGTGCGAGCATACGCGAGCTGTTTGGTCAGGGATCTTCTTCATGGACGCGAAATGTGATTCGGGGGGCAGGTCAGCTTCTGCTTCTTCAGGGGAATTTCGTTTGTGCAAAATGTTCATCCCCTGTAGATTATCTCGCCCTTGCAGAAAAATGCAGACCATTATAGAGTTTCTCAAGTGAGCGAATCTCGCGAACTTCGACGGCTTGAGCTGAGGTCTGGCCGTCTTTCAAGACTCCGGCTGGTACAATGCCAACCTCTCTGCAGCTGACCCTCTTGTTCCTGGAGTTCACTGGGGATACAAGCAAGGCTGCAACTTTGCTACAGCAAAATGCGTCGATGGTGGGACGCCAGTTTCGCGCCATTTCTGCAGCAGTCAGAATCAGGTGTCATGTTCATTGGACAGAACATCAGTCCTTGGATGTGATATTCAACAATTGGATGCAGTGCCGCCCGTGTACCAGTACACGCCTGACAATGGCATTGGAGTCTCAGCTGCGTATGACTACTGCCCTCATTACACAGTTCGCTATACGAACCGAGTCTTGGCCATGTTTGAGCAGTCTCTGACAGCGTTGATGATCCGGTCTATTCAAAGCCACAGTCATGAGTGATGACTGTCAACAACAACTTTGAGGCATTTGCACCAACTCCAATTCTGTCACCGTACCTTACTCCAACGTCAACTTCATGAAGGAAGTCTTCTCGGCAGAGAGCCGCTGCTTTCTTAGCACACTGCACCAGGACGTTCCTCAAGATGGAGGAGGCAGAAGCTGTCAATTTGCTCCGGCTTAGGGCGTTCGCAGATCCACAGGCCCTGAAGCCCTTCGGAGACAGAGTAGTACTCCCAAAGAACAATCTGCCAAACTTGAGGGCTTGTTCCTGAACAGATGGACTAAGAGACCCGGAGGCGGACTTCAGGATTGAGGACTTTTTGTGCTATGATGGTCTTGAAAATGGTGTTTCGGGGCAGCGTCTCCAAGTCATTGCTTCTGGTTGCATGGAGTGCAACTGTTGCAGGGGTCTTTCTGGCACGCGCGGAAGACTTCGTTGATGACAGGCTTGTGAATTTGCCAGTGCCATCCAGCTGTCGACATAGGCTCGGCTCTGTTTGCTGTGACCAGGCCAGTGTGCTACAAGGTCGTCTGTACCAGCGACGGGCGGAGCTATCAACTTCAGGCCTGGCCCCAAAATTGCGAAGAGATGCGACGAGTGATTTGCAGAAGTTGTGGACGCTCCTGTCCTCACAGGTTGCAGAAGGGACAGGCCTTGTGCCTGTTGGCGTCTGCAGCAGCGAAAATCAGAAGTTGCTGATCGGCTGCAACGGGAGCTCGGTTTCAGGATTCATGACTCCCACATACTGCAAGACCACTGCAGTGTGTGCCCCAAGGCTACCGATCAAAGCAGGGCTAGACTGTTCTTGAGATTGCCATCTTTTGCTCTGCTTCAATTCAAAAGCTAAGGACTTTGGCAGGCGCAGGCCGGGAGTCTCAGCTCCTGTCAATGGTACGCGTGTGGTACCTGTGTGGTACCCCGCGACACTCTCATTAGCGCGAAGGGAGGGTGCGATAGCTTTGAGCTAGAATCCCCACGAAGAGCCTTGCCAGGAGGCACCATCACCTGTGCAGCGCCAGCCGAGGCTGCGAAGCTACCAGCAGAAACTTTGCATTTTGCAGAACAGAGGATCAGTGAGGGGTCCCTCATAGGTACATGAGAGTTTCACTTGAGAGAAAATGTGCTTTGAGGTGTGCTCAGATCTTTCCTCGCTGCACGTTCTGGGAGACCAGTGGCAAAGCCCCTCAGAAGGCCTGGGGGCGCTTCAAGACCTGCGCCTGTCGAAGCTGCACGAAGCCTTTTGAGAATGCTGATTTGCTGGCATGCATGGTACTTTTACAGGACCCACTACGACATTCACCGCTACCAGTCCATGCCTCAGCGCATGGACTTCAAGCATTTTTTTTGTTTTCGGGATTTTTGGTTTTCGTTCTGGAGGCACATATATCGCTCAATTCTGGCAATGCTAAATGGAAGGGTGTATGCGTGATGATGTTTAGGTCTTCATTGATGCGAATGTGTACTTGTAGGTGTAGCTGTGCCCGGGTAACTCCATCAAGCTTTGCTTATTCCATTGCCGTGCCTTGCCCAGCATGCAGTCCTAGCCAGGGTTTTTATTCTAAAGGTCTGCATTCACCTGTCAGGGAGGGCCGCAGGCATGCCGAGGCTCGTTTGAGTTTAGGGTTTAGTTTGCCTGTTCCAGCTACGGTTTGGTTTGGCATGCGCTGCACCTCAAACAAATCATGCAACAACGTCTTGTATGACGACGCTTTCAACTTTAGACTAGCACAACAACGAAACAAATGCAACACCATGGGAAAAGAGCGCCATCAGGTCTTGGTTTGTGAGGGTGAGCCCAAGCAGATGTTGTCAGGCACTGCTACGAGCATGACAGCAACCTCCACAACGCTTTCCACTCGTTCAGGCCAGGACATTTTGTGCGCCCGCACTAGCCACCGACACGGATCTGGGACTCTGGAAAACAGTGCTCGGAAGCAGCTGGAAGTGACTGCACCGTGATTGTGTCATATTCTTGGTGCTCTTGGAGACTTGACTTGGGCTGGACAGTTTCTGATTTGACCGCAGGTGTTACCTTGACAACCTTGACAGCCACCGGCACTTCCACACTAACTGTGTCATTGCTCCGCGGCCCAAATCAGCAGGAAAGATAAAGCTAACTATGTTATGGCAAGATGTGCTTGACATTCCATCCAGATTCGCCAACACCAAGGAGCACAACAAGTCGCGCAACATTGACGCGCGCTGGTTACATTAAAAGCGCTCATGCCATTTCCGCTTGGGTGGAAACAAATTGCTTCTTGAGGCAGACCTCCACGCAGGCCGCGGGCCGAGTCAGCAGCCAGTTGAATTCTTGTACGCAGTCCGAAGTCACTTTGAGGACTGGGAACCAGAACAAGCAATTAACATGGCTGGACGCCCTGCTGCCAGCATGATTGCAGTCGTTCTAATCACATCAATCCGGACCTACATGTAGCAATGAACACCGCTACGAGCCGTCGATAATTCGAAATGGCCGTAAGCGGTGCTGTAAGCCATTGTTCAGACTTTTGGCTCCAAGGAGTCCAGGAGAGTAGGCTAACATGGCGCAGCTTCGAAGGAGCTGGCGCCGGATCAGGGCGCAAATGCCCAGTCCCATTAGCCTTTCGTACTCATTCTTCAGAGCCTCGAAGCGCTCGTGGCGGGCAGAAAGTGCGAGAAGGCTTGCTAGAATTGAAGACCGGCGCTCGGCCAGGCCCGGGACCCTCCTCAGTAGTGACATGACCAGGCGCCTTGCCTTTTCAAACGAATGGTGCAAACTCGGCAAGCTTCAAAGACTGACAGGTTCTCGCAGGTCAAAGCAACCATGCAGGACGAGGTGCCAAGCTAAGGTAGCAATGCCGGAAGTTGTAAGCTTTAAGCAGCTCGAAGCAGTCTTTCGATACTGTGTGCAGGGGGCAACGGGCAGCCTCGGGCCCAACCTGCTCAAAGAGGCAGAAGGGTGAGAGTTTGGAGTATCCTTGCCAGTTCGAGGGATAGGGCTCGAAAAGCTTATTTCAGGAGAAAGAAACGAGTAGGATGACAAAAGCAACCGCCTGGATTTCCAGGAAAGCAAAGTGGGGAGGCAGGATGGACAACAGGAACAAAAAGCAAGGAGACAAGAAGAGAACGCAAGAATGCAGGAAGCAGAGAAGCAATGAGCCAGGCACGAAGGATGAAAGCGGAATGAAGGAAGGAATCCCTTGAGCAATCCATGCAAGCAAGAAGCATCAATGTTAAATGGGAAGAAAGCATGAGTAGTTGTCACTACACAGTTTTAGCTCCGTAGCATTACTGTTATCTCTACTACTGGTGGTGGTGGTGGTGCTGCTGCTGCTGCTGCTGCTACTATTGCTGCTACTACTGCAATTCCACATTGCCATTAACATGATTCCGGTCACTTTTTTCATTGCGGTGGTGTGTCTTGGTCTCAGTGTTCCGAAGATGTAAGCGGTTACGCTTTGTTCTTCGTTCGAGTACATTGATTACCATGATGCCCAGGTTACTTTTGTTCTTGTCCTTCGTTGTCATTGACATTATTGCTGGTTTTCCTTTGCTTGTGCAGTTTTTCTTCTAACTAGTGTTATATCCCCACTGTTGTTACTAGTCTCCCTGTTCTTACCAGGACTGTTTTGACCTTTGCTGGTATCATTGCCGTTGCCTGCAGCACTCGCTGCAACTCTCTTGGCGTCAGGGTTTTTCCGTTGCTCTCAGCACTTCTTTGGCTATTACTGCTATTGTTGGTGTTGATAGCAAGAAACTACATGTTCCAGTCATTTTCTCGTCCTCGTGCGTGCTCAAGTTCTGCAAATGGGGAGCCCTTGCCCCCCGCACCCACATCCGTGCAGTGTTCGGAACATCCTATCAAGCCTTAGCAAGGACCTACATGTTTGACTCCTTGCCCATTCTTTGAGTTTAGGGTCGAGGATGTAGCTTGGTTACATAGTAGGGTTTAGGGTTCAGGGCGTACGTGGTTGACGGATCAGGTTTTTCAGGTTACGCAGCATTTAGGGTTTAGGGTTTAGAGTTCAGGGTTTAGGGTTCAAGGTTCAGGGTTGTTGGTTTGGGGTTTCGGATTCACGATTGCTGCGGCGAGGATGTAGGGTTTTGGCCGATGCCGGGGGCAGCTAGGGCTTCTGGGGTTCATACTGATAGGGCTTACTGTAAGGCTTCAAACTTGTAGGTTCAGGAAATTGAACATGATTTTTTTGCGGTTTGGGGCGGTTACTGCCAGAGCGTCAGGGTAAGGGTTGTGGCTTTAAGGGCCAGGATCATGGCTTTTGAGGTGTGAAGGTACGGGCTTCAAATTGCCTAGCTTACGACTTATCAGTTTTTAGGGGCAGGATTCCAGGTGGTTCTGATATGTTTTGATAGGGGAGAAATATCGGAAACAACGAGGCATCGTTCTTGAACATTTTTCCTGAAACCGGCACCGGTGGGATGTTTGCGGTGGCTTGGCCACGGGTCTCAGAGCTCTCGGAGTTGCGAGTGTTGCTCCAATGGTTGGAGCTAATAGGGTCATTGGCTGGAGTTTAAACGTTTTAGGCTTAGGTCTTTTTTAGGTGGAGTCCAGGAAATAATGTACGGGATGCTTTCAAGAGCTTGGCCAATGTAGCCCATTTCGGGGCTACAGGGCTGATCAGTGCTTGGGTTTTGCAGAGCTGGCCGGTCCAACATCACAGTGTTTTTTTTTGGATCTTTGCCGTTTGGGGCCAAGGGCGTAAGGTTAAAGCTTGGGCCTGAGGAAATCGACGCGATGCAGCTACGCAAATGGCGAGGAATACGCAAATGCATTTTTGGAGCGTCCGGGGATTCAGGCTCCAAGAACGATGACAAGATAAGTCACCAGTGACTCAAAGTGAGACGTCACAATACTCCGCAACCCCACCAAATTGCGAGCACACTCGTCCATGACACAGGGGAGGCTGCGGCCTCCCAAACCCAGGGCTTGCAGGAGCCTGCGGGTTCTTATCGTTGTTGATGTTTTGCACTTGGGGGGGTTGTGCGCACGCAAAATATGCACTGCTACACACATATCTTCGAGAGACTCTTCAAAATCTAAACGGTACGAATCACATCTAACTTTTCTTTTCCTAACCTTCGCAAAACTTGGGGCTTGGGGGCTCCACTGCATCCGCTGCTTGGAAGGATTGTAGGTGCCCGGCACTACGGTTGCCCAACATGAGCAAGGTTTTCACTAAGGGGCTTGCGGGGCTCGCAGGTCTTGCGGCAGCTGGATGAAGATAAGACTCAGCGTCAGCAAGAGATTGAGAAGCTGAAGGCGGAGGTGATGTCGCAGCAGGCTCCTGCTGGCTGGAGAGATGCGCAGTATGAATGGCGAGCAGAGTTCCAGATGCATGTTGGTGTCATGCTAAGCAGCTTCCTCAAGCAAAGCAGAGCGTGATGCAATATAATTGCCTAGCTTGATCCGCAGTGTTGTCAAGGGCCAGGTCTCGACATCGCTATAGCTCCCATCCATGAACATGTGGTTTTGAGCCATGGCACGAGATGTCCGCGGCTTGCCAGGCTCTTTTAGGGTTTTTCTGTCAAAGCTTCAGTTCCAGTCCATGAAGGTTTGCCCGGGACCTCGCTGCAAGCGTTGGCAGGGGCACTGGGCCTGGCTAGCTTACAATGGAAGCGAGGCGTTTTGAGATATCAAGTTCTTTCCCGAGGTGCCAGGACCTGACGATCCTAGTTTTTCCAGAGATCCTGAGCCCTTAGAGGGCAGCAAACTGGGCGACCTCCTGAAAAGCCAGCTGGTGGAGCTGGGCAATTTCGTTGGTGGCCTGAAGCTGCGCAAGGCCCCCGACCCGACGCTTGCAGACGCAGCAGGCGCGAACGCTGCAGACAGCAAACGTACCCTTTTGCCTCGGCCTGCTCCTGTCCGCAGATCTGGATACTTGGACCTCGGAGTGGAACCCAAGAACGACTCCAACGCAAGAAGCGCCCCTCGGAGCTCACATGGCCCAACTGCAGATACCCGCTGTCTGGCAGTTTTGGACAGTAAGGCTGCGATCCCTGGATGCGAATCTTGGGGATCTGCTTCCTGCCCCTTGCACGCAATTGCAGGGTAACCATTTCAAGCTGCAAACTGTAGCTGACAGGCCACCAGGTCCCGAGACCTGCGAAGCCTTGGCGGTGCAAGCCCCATGAGTTCCAAGAGCCAAGTGACCAGCTTTCACAGCCCGGCCAGCTCAGGTGCGCTTCCTTTTGTAGGTATTGCACGAACAGGTTTGCCTGCCTGCTGCTTTTCAGCCTGCTGCTGGTTGCGGAGGCTTGGCCTACGAGCTGGAAGTGTTGCGCTTGCAAATTGCGGCTTTGGCGCAGTCACTGGCCGGCCAGTTCCCTATGTCAACTCCAGCTTTGCAATTGCTGCGGTTGAGCACGTGCCCCCATTGTGGTCATCCTATCTTGAGTACATGCTTGAAATTTGGTGTTGCAGGTCTTGGAGCTTGCGTCATGAACTGGTCTTTAGAACTGGCCCTCCCGCGCCGGCACGAGCTGGCGGATATGGTTTTGCGGTATACGCTGCCCTGCGAGCATCTCAGCAAAGAACTGAAGGAGCGCTAAGCTTACAGCAGACAGGGATCTGGAGCTTGGGACTTACGGGCTGACGCTCACTTCAGAGTTGCTCAGGCCGTAGTAGAAGTCTTTTTCAGTAATGGCCTGCAATGAGTTTTTTGCGCCGTGTTCCGTTGACATCATTAGAGTCCTCACTTAGTTGGGTTCCTTGTTAGGTTTGTAGACGGGTCTGCAGTTGGGCAGTGCGAAATCTCATGAAAATTGACAAAAAGGTGAAAGCTAACTGGTTGTTGAGAGCAGTCAGAGGAGCTCTGCCGAGACTTGCAATCCATGGAGCTCTTCTCGGAAGAGAAATTGCCGAATCTACAGGACCCCAGATTGCAGGCGCGACGACATAATTTCCGGGATACCAGGTTTTCTCAGTTCTGGATTTGTGGGTTGCAGGGATGCGGCTATTGGGTGGAACATTTGAATTCGAGTGACCCTCGTCTCAGGCTGCGGAAAAGGCTATCTTTTTCCCTGCTCTGCCTTTGCTCAGCTTGAGGATCGGAGCGAGAAGGCTGTGGAGAAGCCGCTGACTCTGGGGGGCCTGCAGCAGATGCTCCTGCAGCAGAAACATGCGCAGGCAGAAAGCATGCAGTTGTCAAACAAAGCGCGCTTCCACAGTACCGCATTACCGGCAAAGCCTTGTTGTGGGAGTCGTGGCAGGAGGAGCACCTTCTTCAACGTTGTCATGAGGCGTGACCTTGGCAGCAAAGGATCAAAGTTAGGTTCAGATCATGTTTTCCGAAGTCCAGCCAGCAGGCCATGGGATGCTCATTCAGGCCCTGCGAGATTTGTTCCATCCAAGGTCCTCATCGGTGCCTGTTCCAGATGAATCCTTCGAATTGGAGAGGATTCGCTGGAACATGGAGCGTGAAGCAGCTCGCATGGAGGCCGGGCCGGAAGGGCATACACGACTTATGAACGGCGATTTGTAACCTTCTACTTGATCTCAGGACTGGGAGAGGGACCATCGACGAGGCATCACTGTTGGCGAGTTTCCCAAGGACGGGCTTATGCATTCAACGCAGTGGGTCAGCATCTTGGTGACGAGAGGACAGCCAGCAGTGGCCGACTCAATGTGTTTTTTTTGGGGGCGAGAAGTTTTCAGAGGTTCTGACAAATGCCTCAGGATGTCTGGACACCATGCCAGCTCCGCGAGCTCCTTTGACTGGCACGAACCCGGCGGAAGAATTGTCTTCTGAATCCGCACAGAAAGCACCTCATTGAACATGTTCCTTTCATGAATCCTGCCTTCATGAAGTAGCTTGCTTTGCTCGCAGTACATGGAAGCGTGTGTGCTTTGCACCTTTGCACTCTGAAGGCCATCATTGGTGACATTGCTCAACACATCTTGGGCGGCAACCTGGAAGAGGCCAAGGGCAGCAGGATGCAGGATGCAGCTGTAGTGTGGATGCACGGATGCACCATGATGCACCCCTGAAGGCCTTGTCGCAAGTTCGCAGCCGACTTACTGTGATGTGTTGTGAGCAAATGCCGTGAAGGCAGCTGCCCAAGCTGCCCCTGACAGGTCAAGACGTGAGTCTTCAGAAAGAACAGCTGGTACCGCCAGCCCCCGCAGATGTGTATCTTGCTGTTCTGTCTTTGTCCAGGACCTTCAGGCTAGAGCCTTGAGGGAAGGCCTCTTGGACTTGAAGTTGCTCAAGGCCTGGCTGCCTGGCTGGCCGCGGCCGCCATTTCAGACTGGAAGCTGACAAACCTGGAGGACGACGTGAAGTTGCAAGGGGAGCGGCTGCCACAGATGCTCAGCGAGCTGTTTGGAGCCCGGCTACGGCTATGGCAGCCAGGCCACCTGGAAAAGAGACAGCTTTGAGTGCGAGGCGCGAGGATTCCTCCATGGAAGCCCAGGGCTACATCAAGGCCTGGTTTTGGGGCAGAGCGAAACCTTGTGGAAGCAGCATGAAACAGCCAGAAGGCTGCCTGCGAGAAGGTTGCCGGCTGCCAAATCTGCATGATGTGCATGGAGGGCTTCCCCGGTTTCCTTACTAGGATAGCCAAGGCACAGGAGTGTAGCGGCAAGATTGCGGAGGACAGCGTGCCTTTCGATTCTGGACGTCTAGGATACGGTCTGTACTTGTGCAGGAGTGTGCAGCCTCGAAGCGGCACGCCGAAACCCTCTGCGATCAGCCCCTCAACAATCAAGCTTTCAGCAAAAGCAAGCCCACTGGGGGTTGTGGACATCTGAAGGTTGAGGCAGCGAATAGAGACGTCCCAGGACTATCAGATCAGGGAAGTATCGTAGCAGTCTTAACAGTTCAGTTGGTCGAAGGTGTCTTAATGTCTCAATGCCTGGGCTTTGCAGGAGGCTGAGTTGAGGAAGCTGGAAAGTCTCGTGCAGGCCAGTATCTTTTGCAACATGGAGCCATGCGGAGCCTCCGTCCCGCTGCCGTCCAGGCTGCCCAAAGACAAGTGGACAGTCTGGACGAGAGGGTGCAGCAGCAGTGCCAGACCAAGCGTTTGGACGTGTGCTTCGATTTGTATTTTCCGCATGGCTAAGGCCCAACCCCGCTGATGCGCAGTCGGCACAGCAACTTGCAGTTTGCCATCTCAGCTTCAGATCACTGTGAGTGAATCCGCCCTTGAACCTTTCTGGTCTTTGCATCTCTGAGAGGTCACGACGGCTCAGCAGCATGCTGCACTAGCTGACAGCCTTGCTGGAGAGGTCCGGGCAGCTGCCACAGCCTCAGCAGCTTGAGACTTGCAAGGTTGAGTGTGCAACCAAAGCAGGTCCTCCAAGCGCAGGAACTGGCTGCAGCAGCTGCCTCATCTGCACCACGACTGCAGACAGACGAGCCCCACGTTTTTGCTGTCATATTCACAGTGTGCTGTGTCCCTGTCAGGCCACATCGGCAGAAAGCCACACGGGAACTGTGCGGGGTGTTGCTGAAGGGGTTGCCATGGCGGTTCCCTGGCCTGCATTTGGCGGCTCTCTCTTGCCTGCTCTTTCTACTCGTGCATTGCATGTTTGGCCTGATGTCCTGATAGCCCGCCGGAGCGCGAGTGAGTCAGGTCGCAGCTGCAGAGAATCATGCGCGTGACGCGCACAAGTCGGCAGAAGCTGCGTCAAAAGCTGCCCTTTGCCTGCAATGGGTAAGGAAGAAATGGGAGATGCATGTTTTCGGGTGTCTGGACAGAAAGTGAAGCCTCTTGGCTGCCCGTTTGCACTCTAGAGTACCTCTCAGGCTGAAACTGCTGAAGCGCATGCCGCGTCAGCTGGAAGCACGATGGAAGCTGTGCAGACTCACGTGGGGAACTCGGTGTTGCTTGTTGGTTGCTTTTCTTGGTTTGTCTTTGGCTAGAAGACATCTCAGCATGTCTGTCCTCATGGTCGTCATTTGAGGAATTTGTAATCATCAGGTTCCATTCCGAAGCATGGGCGAGGCTGATGCAACTCATGTATAGCGGCAGCATGCGAAGCATCAAGGTGCTGTCGTGATGAATTTGAATTATTTGCCCTGTCTCGCCCACAGTGATGCCCGGCAAGCCCCATTGAGTGGCTACTGACCTTCCTCTTATGGGTCGGGGAAATCCCGTGCCGAGCCAAAGAAGAGGTCCTGCAAGGCGGTCCGCCTATTGTTCCGGCCAACTTGCCAGACAGCACCAAACTCTGTATGCGTGCAAATGTGTCATTACGGACTATGCTCAGTGGAATCCTCCTGTTCCATGTAACCTTCGAGGCTTCAGGCATGGCAGGCACCTCAGGAGGGACCAAAGGAAACCTTCGAGCCAATTTGGTCGCAAACAAAGCCTGGGCAAGGCTTCAAGACATCGCTCAACACAAGCTGTGCGAATCAAGTTGAGTCCTGCTTGTCTATCCACCTCCGGCCACCTAGTATCTGTGTAGACCAAAAGAGCTGCTCTGCCTGGACACTTCATCGGAAACCAGCCTTCATGATCCAGTCAACGCGGTGCCCAATCTGGCCCAACTTATGAAGAGATGCGATCACCTGTCCGCTAGGCTGACACCTCATTAAAACAGCATTATCACTGCAAGCGATGTCATAGCTCGAGCCACCACAAAAACCGCTCAGATTTCACTTGGGACGGCCCTCATGAGAAGAACAGTCAGCGCTGTTCCATCAACACATGCATCGGCCATGACCTCGTCGAGCCAGGTGTTTGCCTCTGCGCGAATAGCTAGCCGCATTACTGGGTCTGCAGCCAACCATCGTGCCTAAAGTTGTTTGGCCTGCTCCAGGACCCGAGACCGCCAAATGTTAGAGGTAGGACTAAGGCTCCCTATCACCGGAGGCAAAGGGATGCTTTGCTTGCGCATTCAACAGGCCAACCATCTACCCAAACCATTATAGAGGAACCCGAAATCGCAAAACCCAACATGGGGTGCAGAGGGTGCCCACAGCGTGCAGCACGCTCCCCAACGCCAGAAGCCTGAACTAGTCCAGAAGCGCCAGCACGTATTGGCGGATTCATACATCCCTCAGCTGACCTGCTGCTAATTTCAGAACCCATCAGTCGAAGCTGCACAGATACCTGGAGCCTGGGCCAAAGGATGCAAGCGAATGCCCCCTGGTAGCTCCTAGACCCTCCAAACCAGTTCCCATTCCGACTTTCCCGGGACCATATACCATCGGGAATCCTTGGCGCCAGGGAAATCCTCAATTGGAGCGGGCCCTTTGAACCCAGCCGTCAGTGGGTAACATCCCTGAATGCCCAGGTCTAGACTCTTCTCCATGTCTATCCCTCTCTCGCCGTTTCTTCTGCTGGACTGAACTCCCGCAAGCTTGGAGCAACTGCAGACAGAAAACCTGCGCCCCGACCAGCATCGGACGATCACGGTCAAGCTGCGCATCGTCATGCTCAGCCAGGTCCAAGGGAGATGGGGTTAGAAAAACAACTTTATAAGCATCAAAAAACCTCTATGAGCATCAACTTTTAAAGCCTCAACAAAAACTGATTGCTCATTTCCTGGGGAGTACACCAATCCGGAATGTCTTTTTTGATGCTTGGGCTTCGACCCTGTACCCTGGCAGGAACGAGAGAAGCAAGGAAGGAAGGAAGGCGGGAAGGAAGGAAGGAAGCAAGGAAGGAAGGATTGCTCATCGTACTTCATCAGTTTTCATCAGTTCTCATAAATCTCAACATTTTTTCATCATCTTCATATTCAGGATCAATTTCATGACATTCCATGATTTTCTTGCAATTTTCCAATGTTTTCATTTTCATGATTTTTCATTTTTTTTTTGTCATCTTTCATGTTATCATGGTGATGATTTCTGACTATTTTCGCGTGTTGTCAATTTTTGCAGGATATCCGTGTTTTTCATCATTTCCGTCATTGTTTATTGTTTCTTTGAATCTTGAATCATTTTCATGACTTTTCATTATTTTGCATCATGTTTCATTGAGGTTCAGATTTCATGCGTTTTCATCATTCCCATCTCTGTTGATCATTTTCATCCTCCTCTAATGGCTAATCACATCGCAATGCCAAATTACCGTGGCGAAAGAAAGCACGTACTGTATCCTAATCTTTGTCCAGGTTTTGCAATTGGGGGGGCGGCACCCCCCCAAACCCCCTGCTGTTGCTTTACAAAGCACACATGACTCTTCATCAGTTTCCTCTCTATCTATTCGTCATTTTCATTATTTTCCGCATGTTTCGCAATTTTAAGGTTTTTCCACATTTTTCCCTTATTTTGACTTTCCATGGTTTTCATGATGTTGCATCATGTTTCATCATGTGTCAACATTATCATCATTCATCATTGTTTTCATGATTTTTTCATCATGTCACCATGTTTCTTCATTCATAATTTTCCATCATTTCTCATTACTTTCTATTTTCATACTTGTCATATTTCATTGTTGTCATGATTTCTCATCATTTGTCATTAGTAATGCAAATGATTGTTCATGATTTCTCATTTTCATCATGTTTCGTCATTGTCAATATTTATCATTATTTCCATGCTTTTCTCATCATTTTGATCACGCTTCTTATTTATCATTCTTTTCCATCATTTCTCATTACTTTTCGTGTTTCCTAAAATGTTTTTTCCATGAACATTGTTTACATTTCATAATTTTAATGATTTTTCATATTTCCATATTCTCCATAATTTTCAGAACTTTCCTGATTTTCCACGATTTTTCATCATGTGTTCATCTTTTCAGTCGTTCCATAATTTTCATGTTTCCTGTATTTTTCATGAACTGCTACTAT